ACCATAACGAGGACATTATAGGTAGGGCCCACAGAGATAGTACATTAGACAATGTGTTGTGCTTTTGGAAAGAGGTAGTCCTTAGGAAGGTGAAAATCACCAGTACATCCGAAAAAGGAGATTGAGCCTGTCCTAAAACATAGGAGGCCATGAATCGCCGATTCATTTTATCAATGGTCCATGGCCTCCACATTTTTAAGAGAGACTCAATCTGCTTTTCGGATGTACTGGTGGTGCATAGTGCATTTGGTAAAGGTAGCGTACAGGATTTGGAAGATTGTGTTGGAAGGTTTTGGTTTTTAGGCAGATGTGACGCCTGAGACAGAGTCTGCAAAGAGTCTGGCTTGCAGCGATAAGGTTGCTTGTGATGCTCGCACTTTTGCTGGGGTTTGTAGTTGGGAATGGGTTTGGTTGAAAGCCTGAAACTTCCTTGCCCCGCCCATGTGGCTGCAGTATTCATGTGAGGGACATCGGGCCCATTTCCTGGCTAATAAGATTGTTGGTTTTTTTCTTTGAAAAAAATGAACTAGAAAAAGTAAAGTAACTTAGTAAGGGATTTATCGGGTCGAAAGAGCGGACAGAATCAACCTTTTTTTTTCTTTTTTTTTATAACAAACTTCATTTATTGGTGGGGATCTGTGACGAACTACTTTCCATGAACGCGTGACCTTCTGCGCAGATGTATTACGGGGGATTATCGGGAAGGGCCTGCCCAACTACATGAATGCCCCGTCCTTTTGAAAGAGGCTGGTACCACGACGACTGGTAAGAGCTTGGAAATAACTGTTGCCATAGCTTCTTTCTTGTTCTGCTGGAGGGAACTAAATTTTGGCGTGATCGTCGCGTGAGGAAAATCGTTTTTTTTTTTTAATTTGAAATACGGAGGAGTACGGAAGCTACGACCTTGGTTGATTTAGGAATTAGGGGCGTTGTCATCTGTCACAGACTTCTGTTGCTGTAATGGCTCGGTGCTTCCTACTTGCGCGCGCATTACTGCGTCCTGTCCTGCGCTCTGTCCCCGCCGCGCCTAAATCCCAATCGCAACTGCAATCTCTTCTTGCTCCTTCTTGGCAAACGCAGGTGTAACTGTAATCCTCCCACTTCTTGATCTTTTCTCTTTCTTTTGCCGTGCGAAGTTTCTCTGTGCCTCTTTCCCGTCTATCTCATTGGCCCACTGGTGCATGACTGGATCGATGCGTGGAGAGTGGCAACGTCTCCCACACTGCGGCCCCGTCATGCACCCGTAGGCACTCCCTCCTCCTTTCTGCTTCTCGTTTCAGCAAAATCCGGAATTACCTCGCGCACCTACTGATTGCTATAAACTCAAAATGCGACTAATTCGCTCTCTAATCTACACTTGAAGAGTTAATGGGGTTGAGAGGATCGGCTGACGAGCGGAGAAAGGAAGGTGACTAGGGAGTTGGGCGATCCGATGAGCTGGTGTTGGGTAGGCGGGGTTGACGTGTGGCCGCGATGGACTGTGGCATATGAGCGAACCTGACTTGCATACTTAGACTCAGCGGGATAACAACTTCGGGTTGTCGATGGGTGCAAGGCGATGGACTGCCTTTATCGTGGGAACTTTGAGTGAGAGAGAGAGAGAGAGAGAG